TCTATAAGCGTGTCCTTTTACTATATAATCTCTCTCTGTCTCTTTGTCTCACTGTCTTCATGCTGGCTTTTCCCTGCAGCAGGATTCACAGGATGAAGGGCTTTGTTACCATGGAGACATTGACTCTGAGCATCCTTCCAATGCTTCGGCAAGTCTGTCTCTTACTTTTCTTCAGTTTTCTTGCTCCTCGCTCTGCTGGTCTGCCTGCTTCATCCTTTCCGTTCACTCTTCTTTCCCTTAGTGCTGCTGTGCTATCCTGGCAAAATGATATGTACAACAGTCAGGGAGGCTTTTATAAAAGATGTCACTGATTTGCATTCTTGGAAATGTAGAAAGTGTGTGGTAGCCAGGTCCTGATTAAGAATCAGACAAAACATTAAAACCAGTATTGTTGAACAATCATATGACCCCCTATGAGCAAGCACTTTGGCGACAGTGGGAAGGAAAAACCTCCGGCAGAACCAGGCTCAGGGAGGGGCGGGGCCATCTGCTGCGACCGGTTGGGCTGAGAAAAGGAAGACAGGATAAAGACATGCTGTGGATTCAGTGCAGAGAGGCCTATTAACACATAAGCTGTGTCCCAAAACCTAGGATGCATCCTTTGCAGTACTTTCCAAGTAGACCGAGGAGGCCGGAAGTGCAGAGCTTTGAAACTGGATGATCTAGCCTTCAGTTTTGCAACACTAGCTGTCTCGGTGGAGTTTAATAAACTCGGCCGTCTGCTCCTTGCTATCTAAAATATAACAGGACGCTGGAGTAAACTCTCGACGGTCTCTTTTGACGTTTATTCTGCTGTGTAAAAACTATAACTTTAACCTCAGCCAAACTGATTCACTCACGAACAAATAAAATACTGAAAAAAGCCAAACAATAACCTTTTTAAGTTCTCTAAGTGACTCATATATGTTTAACCTGAGTAGCGAAACACGGCAGGAGTCTGAATGGAGTGACCATTGAACCCCGGCTAGCTATGGAGCTGGTGGGTAACAGATGTCTCCGAAAACGTCGGAGCACTTTGGGACACAGCTTTAGTGAGTGAAGAAGAAACACCCAGTGCATCATGGGAATCCCCCGGCAGCCTACACCTATTGCAGCATAACTAAGGGAGGAACCAGCTCTAACTATATGCTTTAGCAAAAAGGAATTATTGTTCTAACACTTGATGAGTTTATTTTGCAACAGTAGCAAAATAGCTCTTCATTACAGGCTTGATAACGATATGTCTGCAAGTACTAGCTAGCATAAAACTGGTCCCACTGAGTGATCTGTGATCTTTGCAGACCCTCCCAGGTCTGAGATACGGAGCACAGGTCAAAATGTTCCAGAACCAGGTTCCTCTGCTCCCTGGAGAGACCATCCAAACTACAGGTACCTTCTTTCTAGTCTCTATGTGTGTCCAGTCATACAAATACACCTGTGTAATCAGCGCTTTTCTTTTCCTACAGTCAAGGATGTGATGTACATTTGCCCATTCAGCGGTCTGGTTACTGGGACTTTGACCATCACAGACTACAAGCTGTACTTCATCAGTGTGGAAAAGGTCTGCTCGATTATCAGAAGTGCTGTAGCACTCTCCATCTGCACCAGTGTGTTCATGTTAGTGTGTGTCCATTCAGGACTCTCCCTTCATTCTGGATGTGAACCTGGGAGTCATCAGCAGGATCGAATCTATCAGTGTTCCCAGCCAAGGACAGAACAACAGGGGACTGGAGCTGGTCTGCAAGGTACCGCTTTAATACACAAGCAGTCACACAAATGCATGATTATATGTGTTAAAACACGTCATCTAACATGTTATAGGCATTTTTAGTTAACAGCAAAGAAAAACAGCAAAGAAAAACCCAGAAAATGTGCAAATGTCTTATTTTGGCGAGTCTGCTGATTGAGCAGTTTCCTGCTTCGTGCTTCAGGACATGAGGAGTCCCAGGTTTGCCTATAAGATGGAGGAGAGCCAGCCGGACGTGGTGGAGCTGCTGACCAAACATGCCTTTCCTCTGTCCCACAGTCTGGTCAGTTTAATTCTCTTGTCCTGTATATACTGCTTTTAACTGCCTCACAACATACAGTGACAGATAGCAGACGCATGCACCAACATACAAAATGATAAAGAGGAGCAATGGTTGGAGGATAGTGAGGAGTTAGCTGTAGAAGGCTTTTGGTTCGTCCCATAAGGCAAACTGGTCGTGAGTGAGGGCGATTATAGTAAAAACTACTGTTTGTTACATCTGCACGACTAATACTGTAACTGTGACTTCCTCTGGCAGCCCTTGTTTGCCTTCCTGTACAAAGAGCAGTTTCCTGTGGACGGCTGGAAGGTGTATGACCCAGCAGCAGAATACAGACGTCAGGTAACTCCACGGGCGCCGTTACTCTACGACTGACGTGTTGCCAGTTAACCTCATTTGTTGCAAAATGTTTCTTTTTTAATAGCACTTCTTTTTCCAGCATCCTGAACATTTTATGTGTGAACAAGTTAATTTTTTTTTTACATTATCCAGACTTTGTTTCTTTCCTCTGCTTGCATGTCTTTTGTCAGGGGCTGCCTAATGAGAGCTGGACCATCAGTAAGATGAACAGCACCTATGAGCTATGTGACACGTATCCTTCCATCCTGGTCATCCCCACCAACATCACAGATGAAGACATCAAACGAGTGGCTGTGTTCAGAGCCAAGCACCGTATACCGGTCAGTCTGAGCACATATCTGAGGCTTTGCTCTTT